ACTAGTACTACTCGTGCTACTACTACTGCTGCTACTACTACTACTACTACTACTGCTCTTACTACTACTACTACTACCACCACTACTACTACTACTACGACTACTACTACTACTACTACTACAGTACTACACCTACAGTACTACTACTACTACTACTACTACTACTACTACTACTCCTGCTGCTGCTGCTGCTGCTGCAACTGCTGCTGCTGCTGCTGCCGCTCCTCCTCCTCCTCCTACTACTACCACTACTACTACTTCTCCTACTACTACTACTACTACTCCTGCTGCTGCTGCTGCTGCTGCTTCTCCTACTACGACTACTACTACTACTACTACTAGTACTACTACTACTACTACTACTACTACTCCATCTGCTGCTACGACTACTAGTGCTAGCAACCAGTACTAGTACAGTACTAGTACTCGCAAGTTGTTTGCCCAGCATTTATAGGATTGACTTTTTGCATGTTGCGCTTCCGCCATTGGTTTGTGCCCCACGGGTTCGTCTGAGCCAAAGCATCCATGCCCAAACCATAGTAATTTCTGTGCCCAACTGCATTCTGTGACCAGAACATCCAGTGCCCAAGACAGAACAACGTCCATGCGGAACTGCGCTTGGTGCCAGAGCATCCAATGCCCAAACCAGCCCAGGCCACTATAATCAATGTCCATTCCCGACTGCGTTAGGTGAGCAAAGCACTAACGCACCAAACATAATAACGCGACAACCATGACTGACACCGCACTTATTACACAGACAAGATGCCTCCCAAAGAGGTCTAGGGCCAAACGAGTTTTTCTCGGCCTAGGGTTGAGCACCATAGTATGTGCCTACTCGGAACGCGTGAAGGGATGTTCGTCTTTTTCTGAAATTTCTTGCTCGATAGAAACGTTGAAGCGAAAATCTATATTAATTCCGATGTCAACAAAACAGTGCTCTCTTGTTCACGAAGCACAGCTTTCTGTAAAAGCACGAAATCCTGCGCTCGCTGGTGAACACAAACCCTGCACAAAGCATCAGCTTCGATGTGTCCACAAGGCAATGTCCTGGCTGATGATTTTGCACATGCGCACGATGTCCCCAAAAGGCCCCGCACGAAATGTAATTTGACAGTCGAACGAACATGCACCCTAAAATCAACGCACCGCGGGGAACGGGGAAGTGGCTTATCCTTGCCCTGCTTTATTATGGGCTATCAATCAGGGCAAGCTTGAACAGTACTAGTGCTAATAGTACTGTATTCCTTCTACTTCTACGACCACAGCAGGTAGGAAGAGTAGAAATGGAAGTGGTGCGAGCACTACTTGCTATTGCTGTTGCTGTCGTGGCTGTGGTGCTGATATATTGACTTTGGCCTGCAGCGTCCCATCAAGCTGTGAGATGCACAAAGAGAGTGGGGCGTTCGGAAGGGCTTACCTTGATCCAAGCCCCGCACCTGCAACTGATTAGTTAGCAGCCTGACCTTCGTTGTCCTGCTGCTTGTGCTGAGCCAGTCGGGAATGATCAGCTTCCCACGCTTGCCATCGGAGCGAATACATTGCAGCTCCGATTGTTGCTTCGACAGGCTAAGAAGTTGTTGGTGTCCGTCACATTGATCATGCTTGGTGCCATGGTTGCATGGTGACTACACGAGAGTTTGCCTGATTCGTTGTCTTCCGAATGAGGGAAACGTACACAGAGACCTGAAGTCTCACAGCACCTCTACTGTGTTCATTCAGAGCAGGTCCCCGCATACTATTGATAAACACCAAACTAGCTACAAGTTGTGCATAAGCATAGAACTTTCGTGAAACGTGCTACTAAAGACCGTTGGCAAGCGAGAGGCCAAGGTTGACGGCGAGAACTTAATTACTGATGACACTGTAGTACTACGTAGCCTGTAGCGCACCAAAATACTATAACCTCTACATGGGGACCTCTGACCAAACTTCACAAAATACAATGGAGGACGCCACCGAACAGCAAAGTTTACGTTGGCAATCCTGGATGCAGTCGGTGGTGCAGCAAGCTGATTGCCAAAGAAGACCTCCCATGAAGAGCTCAACTTCAGAAAGAGGAGGGCAAAGCTTGCTTCTATGTTTCCAAACTTAGCTTCCACATTCACATCCCAGGAAAGTCAGACCCGTGCTATTGTGTCGAAAACAATCCCAAATCATGTAGCCCATCCGTACATAACCTGCAAAGGCTGACCAGACAGGCAAAGAACTGAAGCCCGCAAATTTATGAGGAGCTGCCTGTCGGAAAAAAACAAACGTATCTTCTCTGCCTGTGTCAATACGCGCTTCCCCTTAAGTAAGCTACTGGAGCTGGTCGATTTCATCACATGGTTCGCCAAAAGGTCCACATGCTGAATACAAGCTCCTAGACGAACTCTCAAAACTAGTGCCAGAGATGTCCCAATATCTCCTCCAGCTGCCTGCTGCGGTTGCTGCTGGCATGAGGCTTGGCCTGAGACACAGAGCATGCTGCCGGCTACACATGCATGGGTTCTCTCCACTCTTTGGGCCCTGGGCCCTCTGAGGATACAAATCACTCCCAAATTGGGTTTTCCAAAAAAAGGCATCCGAATCCTTGATTATGCAGGAACCGCTGGGACTATCACACCTGAATGGCTGCATGGAACAAACACTGGGCTTGACTGAAGGAACTACATCCCCATGCCATCCACGTCCTCTGTGCTGTAAGTTGAGAACCTCACTGAAGAAGGCATTTCTGAAGCATAGGCGAAGGCCAAGGCGCTGAGGTACGTGGTATGAGGTACATGGTACAATCTCCGCCCTCAACCCCAAGCCCCAGCAGCATGCGGCCTTGAGAATCAGCAGCTACTGAACCCAGACCCAAAACAGGACACCTGGGTGCTTTACAAAAGGAGCACCCCAACATGTTGTAGTACTTCTTTTGGAGCCCTAACCTATGGGAAGCCTCTAGTTCCAACTTCGACCTGATGTCATGATGATGAGGCCATGTCCTGTGCTGGGACGAGGAGGCAACCGGCCGGGAGCGTGGGGTGTCAGGGCCGTCCTTGCAGTCAACTTTGAAAAATGGCTGCCAGCACCGTCGCCAAGTGAGAAAGGCAAACGATGAAGCAAACCCGTTAAAGTAGAACCCATAAACCAACCTCAAACTGCCACAAGCTTGTGTCTCAAAAGTCTCGAGGATCCGGACTGCTGAGACTTGCGCAGGAGGATGGACCATATCTGGCGAGTCTTCCGTGCGCCAGCTTTGCCGCTGTGTGCCTGGTGGGGCCAAGTACCCTGCACATGGTGCGGTTGGACTCCCCCGGGACTGGGCGCATCTGGCATCGGCACCAAACATCACGTGACTGCTTGGTCGTTGTGGCTGCGTCACGAGGCCCTGTCCTGGCCAAGGCATGGACTGTGCAATCGCTTTGACGCTGCAGCCGCTGTCACATGTGTCCAGACTGGGATTTGATGATTGCGCGGACGCTGCATGGCCAGCAGCGTAACCCCCATGCCATTGCTGTTGCATGCACAGCACTCTTATTGCGGTGTTTGCGCATGGTGTTGCTGCACTGAACTGCGTGGGCAAGTGCACCGGGATCACGGGAATGCACACAAACATCAGGCCAGGATCTTTCACGTGGGTTTCCTGTCTGTCGGCGCCCATGCATCCGCTTGCCATCGAACGCTGCAGAAACGAAGGCAGCTCCACCGTGCAGGCAGGCTGTGATGCTGGTACGCTCATTTGTCCTGACGATGAGGCTTGAGAACCTGCCCTGGGAAAAGAAAGATGTGGTTGTTGCGACAGACCCGAGAAACCGGATAAACCGGGCTGCGAGCTTGCGCTGCCACACCTTTGCCTTCGTCTTCTCTCCGCGTGGACCAGTTGGGCATCTGTCACCCCTTGCGCAAGGATCCTGCTAAAATCTCGGTAGCGGAGGGCCGTGAGGTCGACGTCAGCCGTTGGCTGGCGCTGCTTTGGTACAGCCACCTGCAAGGCATCAAAAATCGCGGAGTAGCTGGATGGCATGCGGATGCTACCGACTGCTGGTCCGGCCCATTCCATTATCGCTTGAGCCCGGGTAGCACAACAATGTAACACCTGATCCCCACGGCTACAACGTGGAACCTACATGATGCAGGACCTACTGCTGATGGCCAAACATCCAAAGCAAAGTCAGATACTGATGCAGCTTGCTCTCTTTTTTGTCTTGCCGCTAGTCGTCCTGGCATGCAAGGCCAACAGTATTGATGACTGACTTGCAACGCCTGCAGATCGTCTTTCATTTTCCAACTGTCCGAAGCCCAATGTATGGGAGTTGACACACTGGAAGCTTCACCAAAGCTCTCTACACCGGTTCAACACCTCCTACAAGCGTAAAGGCATGACGCGCCCAGGTCTGCGCCAGTGTGGTGAGTGGCAAATGTGATGCCATGCCAAACACTTCACGGCTTACAAGATTTCAAAGCGCAGTACTCCAGAAGAACAGACTCCGTGCCTTCTCGCGCAGCAGCGACGCCTGCATCAAGATGTCTTGCCGCAAATTCTGATAACCAGGCAGGACTTGAAGGCCCCTGTCGTGACGAGGGACACTCTCAAAGAAGTCTGCAGACGTGACGAACTCAAAGTGAAGTTAACCTTATTGCCTTGTGGCAAGTCGTCCACTACAGCTAATGGCCCATCACAATTGAGGTGCTCTGGGATGATCTTTGCTATCCGTATCTGGCAGCGCAGAGACTTGCCATGCTGCATCCGCATGCACGGACAATGTCCCCGCGGCTTCTCCACGTACTTTACACCCCCCTGCCACCCCCAAAGCTTGCACTGGACCGAACTGCATCTTTGAACAAGCAGTCTGCTCTGGGGTTGTTGCCAACTCTGCGTCGCTGTAGTGCTTGTAGCGCCTGCAACCCAAAGCTTCCTTATGTGCCCCAGGATGTTGCACAATTGTGACAACAATCCACAAGAAGGGTGTCCACAGTTGGGACAGTAAGGAAAACTAAATCCTGCTAGGTTTGATTGCCAACTCAGAGAAGTTCCAAATGAGGTTAGGGAAGGGCTTCGGGAGTTTGGGGACAAAGCGTTAGGGTCAGTGTCTTCCCAAAGGTTTGCACTGCTTGACCGCGGCCGGCCTCTGTCGAGTGCCGGAGGACGGATGCTTGTCGCAGTCGGAAGCAAATGCCTCCAAAGTCAGAACTAAGTCTGGGCGTCCCCAAGAACAGCCATAATCAACTAGTGATGCACCCGCTTCAGTTCCAGTTAAAGTTGCTTTGGCAGGCTGTTGCAAAGCCAGAAGATGTTGTACATAGCTGCAAAATTTGGCGCTCACGTAATTGTACGAAAATGGGATCAGGTTGCACGAAGATGGGATCAGGTGAGGGCGGTGAGGCGGGGAGGTGGGTAGCGTCCGTTCACCACAAAACATGTTAAGAATGCTGATGCTGGCCCACGTATCAAGCTTTGAACACCTCCCTCAAAGCAGGGTTGCCAGTACTTCTACTACTACTACCACCACTACTACTGCTACTACTACTACTACTACCACTACTACTACTACTACCACCACTACTACTACTACTACGACGACGACGACGACGACGACGACGACAACTATTACTACTACTACTACTACGACGATGACGACGACGACGACTACTTCTACTACTACTACTACTACTATTACTACTACTAGTAGCCCCCCCCCCTTACCAACTATGTTTGCTTTAATGGCCAAAATAAACGTGGGTGAGGCGGCATTTGAAAACAGTGAGCACCATGACAACCAAATGCCTTCCACACAGAAGAGATGCCAACGTGATCGCACTGTCATCAAAGATTTCGGGGTTACAGTCAAAAAGGCGGGCCAAAATTGTTGTCTTATGGATCGACGTTGGCTTGCCCCTCGAAAATACAACGAAAGCCTCAATAATCTTGTTTAGTGGAGCGGTTGAAGGAAGGCATTAAGTTTGGGGGAAGTTGACTGGTTGAGGTTGGTTGATACTCAAGTATCCCCCCCCTCCGCCCCCTTCCCCCCCAAGACTCTGGTAGTGAAAATATCAACCAAGATAGTTGGTAGGGGGCGGGGGCGCCAAGTACTACTACTACTACTACTACAACTACTGCTACTCCTCCTACTACTACTGCTACTACTACTACTACTACTACTGCCACTACCACTACCACTACCACTACCACTACCACTACCACTACCACTACCACTACCACTACCACTACCACTACCACTACCTACTGGAGTTATGACCTATTGCTACAGCTATGACTGCCGCGACAACTCGTAGAAGTTTCAAGCACCAAAGCAGCTTTAAACTTTTCATGACTAAGTATGTAAAGTGAAACTGAAGTTGGTGCTTTTCTTCAAATTCGGAAAAAGCTGCTGCAAGATTGCTATTCTATCTTTTTTGGCACTAGGGCGAATGTCCAGAATCAAGGTCCTGTTTGGCGCTCTAAGATAGTAAGTGAGTGCTATGCGCCAAAATGCCCAGAAGTTTGAGAATTGTTCAGAATGAAGTTTTTGGGGAAGAGATACAGGGCATCAGGACCTCTCTGAAGCTAGGCTGGCCGGAGGTGGCGTTGCAGACGAAGGCTTATCTTGGGATCAAGCAAGGGCCATGCAGGGGTTTCTGAAAATTACAACCCTCAACCCTAAACCCACTGCTAGTGTGCAGTCCTTTCGACTTTGCTTGGCCTTGTCCATTTTTTGGTAGAACCCCTCCGCAGAATTCTGGTACTGGCTGAAGGGAGGAAAGGGCAAGTGCCAGCAGGCACCACAAACGCCTAGAACCCCCTCCCAACACAGACTACAACATTTTTGTCTTCTGAAAACCCTACATTGTAGCTTCTCAGAGTGGCTACTCCCCGATAGGGACGATTACAATCGCCTTCTAAACTGAATGTATCTCCGGCTTGATTTGGGTTACATACCTTGCTTTGCGAACCCCTGAACCGCTAATCCCTAATCCCGAGGCTCTACATATTGGAGAATTCTTTTTCAAGGGTCCTGAAGGGTCCCTTGTTTCGGGGAAACCCCATCTGTTATGTTTCTTACTGTCCAGTGGACAAGCCATGAACAAAGCTGGTTTAGAGGTTTAGGGGTTTAGGGTTTAGGGTTTAGGGTGAACAAAGTTGGCGAATCTTCTGCTCGAAGCAGCAGTGGTGTAGGGGTATATTGGGACTAGCAAGAGTAAAGAGCGATCCCTCTTCAAGGTTAGGAAAAGGATCATTTCAGATCCGTTTGGGTTGAGGGCCCAGGGTGACGCACCAGCCTCAGCAGCCATGATTCTCTTGAATTTTGAAGCCCCCTTTCACAAGCCAAAACAATGAACCCTAAACTCTAAACCCTAAACCCTGTTTGGGCACTTGGGAAAGTTGCATACTGCTCAGAAAGTTGATCTTCTGGATGGTCCCTTAGATGAGCAGGTTCTCTGCAGCCTCATGTAAAGACGCATCTCCTGCGTGCTCTGCATGGCAAAAGCCGCAGATTTGGAAACCTGCGGATTTGATGTTTGAACGTGTGGTTTGGAGCCAGATCTAGGGATTTGGGGGTACATGGGAGTCCCATAAACAAGGGACCCCAAACATAGATCCCAATATATTATAATCCTTATTACAGCAAAGGACCCCACGTTTCAAGAAATCCCCACATGGCTGCTTTTCACCACATGGTCGCTGTTCAAGTTCAAAGTCGTCTCAAGTGGATGGCAGCCCAAAAGTGGCTGCAGGTCTTCCATCCATTGCGCGCATAATTCGCGGCGGACAAGGTGCTGCACGCAACGCGATGTGCGCGACTTGAGACGCAGTTCGGATCTAGAAGAAGTTCTGCTTCGAGTGGCCTGCTCCCAGTGCAACCTCAGGCAAGCAACTTCCAAAGCCCAAAGCCCGGAAAGACTTCAGGTCAACAGCTCTAACAAAGTTGTGCTCACGGACTTTGGAATCGCAACGCTGACCACTGACAAGGCGCTTTACCTTGGAGATTGTGGTTTTCTGGTGTTTAGTTGAGTGGCGGCGGCAAAGTTAGCCACCACAATCAGTACTACGTTTTCTTTGCCCAAGTAGGCGGAAGCACAAGATAACATCTGGCTCGTGGAGCAGGAGGATGTTTGTGACAGCTCTTGTGCTTGGGACTCGGACCAAGCTCCTCTTAGGGCCTTTAAAGAAGGAATCCGTTTGCTGGAATAGCCGCCCACTTGGGAACATACTGGGTTGCTGTTAAGGAACTGAAATTAAGCTACCCTAATGGGTGTATATACATATATATGTATATTAAATAATAGGGTTTCTCTCCACTATAGTAGCTTACGTTAAGTTCCTTAACAGCAACCCAGCATAGTGTTGGAGTCTGAGTGATTGGTTGGACCTTGTGTGGGTTCAGGGTTTAGGGTGGTGGGGCTTAGCCTGGGGGTAGTGTACGGTCCTATGATAACCTCTCAGGCCTGCGAAAGGCAACGAGAACATTGCAAACTGGGAGCACTCATGGGTTTGATATTGAGCCACTGCAGACGTTTGTAGAATGATCCATACTTTTAAGGTTTAGAGTTCAGGGTAGGAGTAAAAAAGCCTTATGTCCTACAACAGTGTAACTTGCCCCCAAACCCTATTAAGTTAGCTCCCTACCCGCCCCCCAACAGTCCTCTCAAACTACAGTTGTGGGTAAATGTGCGAGATTATCAAAGTTATGGTTCCTTCCTTGATAGTGCATATGATAAGGGCGAGAGTATACTAAGCCATTGTTCCCTAGCTGGGAGAAATTTGATCATAGGGACCCATATTGCAAGTGCAACCCAAATGCGCACATCCATATCCTACTGATGTTGTTCTGTCCCCATTCCCTTACCCTAAAAACCGACCTTAATTGGTGATCAGCCAAATTCATGATTCCCCTACTAATTACCCCGCTATTCTACCCCCGCTCTGGAGTTTCCTCTGAATTGGCTTTAAATAATCTTGAGTAAGTTCAATCTAGAGGGAACCTTGAAAGGGGGTAGCATGGGGGGTGTGGTTAAGGGTACCCATAGGTTTAGGGTTTAGGGTTTAGGGTTTTAGGGTTTAGGGTATGCCTAAAAGTGCGACCCAGGCACCCCATACTTTCCATACATCGCCAGGATCCCCACACCTAAATCCTCCCTACACCTAAAGTTTGGGCTTTAGGATTTAACCCTAAACCCTTTAAAACCTAAGCCCTTCACCCAATTCTGTAGGGTTTAGGATTTAGGGTCAAACCCTCAAACCTAAGCCCTTCACCCGATTCTGAGGAATCCCTAAGTTGCCTGCTAGGAGGAGATGAGAAAAGTCAGCGGCACCGTCGGCTATGCTTCGCCTGAGATGCTGTCAGGCGGCCACTAGTTTTGGTGGGTTTGAGGTTCAGAGGGCTTCGGGTTTTAGTGTTCAGGGGGGTTTAGGATTTGGGGTTTGAGGGGTTTGGGGTTTATGAATGCGGTCCTGGGCTCTGGGGTCCCGGGCGCAGGGTTTAGGAGGTTGGTTTGGAAGGGGATGGTCAAATCATGGTCTCTCGGTTCCGGTTTTGGTCCCTAATATTTAGGGTCAGGGTTTTCAGCGTTTTCAGTTTGAGGTACGCGCTCTGAGAGTGTGAGACCAAGACTTTCGAGGTTGGCGAGTCTGCGTACATTTTTGGCGGGTTGCTGCGGGTTTTGCTCTTGGCTCTTGTGCATTTGCGCAGTTCTTTGCGTGCATGCAAGCACAGTGGCCACTAATTCATGTCTTGAACTTCTGTACTCTTCATTGTGCGGACAACCACTTACTGGTGGTGTTCATTGGGAAAACAGGCATAAAACACGATATACTCCCAATATACTCTAGCACAGTCCCTTATTCCCTACTAACTTCAGTTTTAAACCCTAAACCCTAGAATCGCCAGTAAGACTATTTCCTTTCAGTTTGGTAGGGTGCTTAAATCTATCTGCAGTGTCTTTAACCGAGTCCCCTCAACGCCAAGAGCCAAAACGAGAGCCAAGAACCTTTCTACGACTATCATTTTTATGACTATAAGGTTATTGTTATTCTTAGCATCCTTATCAGTATTATCATTATTATCATTTTGATTACGATTATCGTTATTACTGTTGCTATTGTTATTATGCTTTATGTAACATGATCTTCATGATCAGTATTACTACGAAAAATATCGTTATGACCATTATCATTATA